ATACTGACCCTGTACGGCAGAGTAGAAACCATAGGGTTTCCGAGGCTGTGTAATCTTTATAGGAGCAGACTGCCACATCTTTCTTCTGCGGAGCGGCTGGTGGGTTTGGACCACCAACCTTCTAGGTAATGATTAATTAAGAAAAAGGAACCACCCTGATACACCTGTTCCCCCTTATTGTTCTTATTTTTTAATTAAATTAGAAAACTACTGCTACAAAGTTAATCAGGATTTAAGTCAGTTTGACAGTTGGCAGGTAACGTCTACTTGATGGCAACTCACTCATCCCTATGTTATGAAACCTTTATCACTTGTTGAACGAGCAATATATACTTTTAACTCATCAGTATTTTAAAAATCAACTGCAAACAAGGACTATAAGGTAGACTAATTTGAATGGTTGTATTCCCTACCTTTTGCAGAAAGTTCTAATAAACTGTAATAAATTCTATTAGAATATCTGAGCGTATCCAATTTATTATGTTCAAAAGTGAACCTGGTACCCCATCCTCCAATTTTCTTGAAGTCTTCCCCATCTCAATTAAGTAGCACCTCTGTTTGTTAGGCAGCTTAGGCTAGAAACCTTGGAGCCATCATTACTCTTCTTTTTCTTCAGCTTCGCATTCAGCATGCCAGCAAATCTTGTTAGTTTTGTCTTTAAAATAAATACCCAAAATTTCTACACGTCTGACCACTTCTGTTGGCTTGCATCCTGGTCTAAGCCACCCTCATCTTTAACCTAAATTCTTGCAGTAGCCTCCCAACTGGTCTCTCCTGCTTTTTCCCTCGTCAGTGTCTTTCCCAACGAAGCTGCCATGTTCAGATGGTGATTATCTTCAGCACAAGACCTGGGATAAAAAAAGCTCAAGATCTATACGTTCTGTAATGCCCCTAAGAACATACACACATAGACAACCTCTCTTTTCCTACTGCTCTGTCTTGCGATCACTGTGTTCTAGCCAGACTGGTCTCCTTGCTGCTAACTGAAACATGTGGCCACCTCAGTGCCCTTGGACCTACTGTTTATTTCCTCTGCATGGAATCCCCCCTTTCACCACCTCCCTCGTATCTTTACTCAAACATCACCTCCATGAGGGCTTATTTAAAATTTCACCACATCCCCTCATCCCCTGTCTTTCCTATCCTTTCCTGCTGTTTTTCTCTGAGTATTTATGACCGTCTGACATTTTAATTATAATGAAAGTTCTGTGAAAGCAAAGATTTTTGTCTGGTTTTGAACACTGATGCATCTTCAGTACTTAAAAAAGAGCTAACATATTGTAGATGTTCAAGTCACTGTTGAACTAATGAATTTAAGAGAAAGGAGAGAGTACGTGAAGGCATGAATTAAAGCCGCAGGTTGGATCATCATTCACATAATTGGAATAAACCTCACTGTGGAAACTTTTTTTTTTAACTTAAAACATATTTCTTGAACATTAAATTAAAATTTCCTGGGAAAAGATTTTACAGTAATTTAATTTTAGAATTGCAGCATTAGCAGTAACTGTTTACCGAATTGTACCTTGAGAGTCAATAAACATTTATGCCTACTGTGGCAGGCATTGTTTTCGGTGCTGTCAGATGCATTATCTCACTGAAGCATTACTGTTGCAGTTCTGTCATGGTATTATTGCCACAGAAGTTGTGACTTGTCAGAAGTTACACATCTAGTAAATTTCTAACCCATGTGACCTCACTCCAAGCCCACATCGTGATTGGCACATTCTTTATCACTCATGACCTCATAATCTTTAGAAAAACAAAAATTACAGTTTTATTTTAAAGATACAAAGGGAACTCACCTAAGCAACTAAAGGAGAAAGGCAGTGATAAGGAGAGACTCAATTCACCCCCATAAACATATTTATAAATACAAAAAAGAGCAAAGAAAGTAGAGGTAAATTTGATTCAGGCTCTCTAGCGTTTCTTCCTAGGTGCCTTCTCAAATCCCAGGAAGGAAAGAAGCTTCTGTTGATTAGCTTGTTTTGAATAAATACACGGTAGTGTTGATGAGCTTACTTACTTTACTGTTTTTCCTTCCCTAACATCCTTTATTCAGCCCTTTTGAACCACTTGTTCTTCCACCTCCCTCTCTCCTTTTCCCACCCTTCTAGCTTTGGGGTCCTAGAGATGTGACAGCAGTATGTATGTTCGTCTCAAGTTTGCTAACATTAATCCATTTGAAAAAGGATAGTTTGTGTGTGTGGGTATGTGTGTGTGTATATGTATGTGTATGTGTGTGTATTTAAATTACACCTCTCCATATTGAGCCATCTAGAATTCTAGAGAAAAAGGAATGCATGGTTGTTCGTTGTTGAGTCCTGGATTTTTGCTACTTTTAAGAGCATCATCATTGTCTTAAGTCATTTAGTGCTGCCATAACAGAAATACCACAAGTGGATGGTTTTAACGAAGAGAAGTTTATTTCTTCACAGTCAAAGTAGGCTAAAAGTCCAAATTCAGGGCGTCAGCTCCGGGGGAAGTCTTTCTCTCTCTGTCGGCCTTCTCATCAGTGTTCCCCTGGACTAGGAGCTTCTCGGCGCAGGGACCCTGGTCCAAAAGACGCGGTCTGCTCCTGGCACTGCTTTCTTGATGGTATGAGGTCCCCCTGTCTGTCTGCTCACTTCTGTCTTTTATATATCAAGGGATTGCCTCAGGACACAGTCCGGTCTTGTAGATCCAGTCCTGCCTTACTAACACAACTGCCACCCATCCTCCCTCATTAGCATCATAGAGTCAGGTTTACAACATACAGGAAGATCACACAGTACCAGGAATCATGGCCTAGCCAAATTGATACACACATTTTCTGGGGGACATAATTCAAACCATGACAGTCATCATCAGGCACTTTGATGATACCCATTGCTGTCGAGTCAATTCTGACTCATAGCAACCCTATAGGACAGAGTGGAACTGCTCCATAGGGTTTCTAAGGAGTGGCTGGTGGATTCAAACTGAGCTGTTAACCACTGTGCCATTAAGGTTCCACTTTGATGATAAGAAGTTTCAAGAAGAGAGCTTCTTACTTTGGAGTTCCCCCAAAGTAAAAGTAGCTGACTGTTCCATCTTTTAGAATTGCTAGGTCACAAGTGTCTTTGGGATTGTTGTTGTAGTTGTTAGATGCCATTGAGTCAGTCCTGACTCATAGTGACCCTATATACAACAGAATGAAACACTGCCCAGTCCTGTCCCATCCTCACATTTGTTGCTATATTTGAGCCCATTGTTGCAGCCACTGTGTCAGTCCATCTCGTTGAGGGTCTTCTTCTTTTTTGCTGATCTTTTACTTTACCAAGCGTGATGTCCTTTTCCAGGGACTGGTCTCTCCTGATAATATGTCTGTCTTAGTTATCTAGTGCTGCTATAACAGAAATACTACAAGCGGATGGCTTTAACAAACAGAAATTTATTCTCTCACAGTTTACGAGGCTAGAAGTCTGAATTCAGGGTGCCACCTCCAGGGGATGGCTTTCTCTTTGTTGGCTCTGGGGGAAGGTCCTTGTCATCAATCTTCCTCTGCTCTAGGAGCTTCTCAGCACAGGGACCCCAGTGCTCTGCTCCTGGCTCTTCTTTTTTGATGGTAATGAGGTCCCTCTCTCTCTCTGCTTGTTTCTGTCTTTTGTATCTCAAAAGAGAATGATTCAAGATACAACCTAATCCTGTAGATTGTGTCCTGCCTCATTAACACAACTGCCTGTAATTTTGGCTCCTTAACATAAAGGTTAGGCTTTACAACACATAGGATAATTACATCAGAGCACAAAATGGAGGACAACCACACAATACTGGAAATCATGCCCTAGCCAAATTAACATACATTTTTGGGAGACACAGTTCAATCTATAACAATGTCCAAAGTATGTAAGATGAAGTCTTGCCATCCTCCTTTCTAAGTACCTGTAGTTTCTTAGTTATAGGTACTTGACTCCCTGCTGCCCCCAGTGTTTAATTGGAAAAGGACAGTGAAAAAGGAAGACAGAAGAATTGACACATTTAAATTATGGTGTTGGCAAAGAATACTGAACATACCATGGACTGCCTGAAGAATGAACAAATCTGTCTTGTAGAAAGTACAGCCAGAATGCTCCTTAGAAGCGAGGATGGCAAGACTTTGTCTCACTTACTTTGGACCTGTTATCCAGAGGGATCAATCTCTGGAGAAGGACATCATGCTTCGTAGAGGGTCAGTGAAAAAAAGGAATACCTTCAGTGAGCTGGACTGACACAGTGGCTGCAACAATGGGCTCAAACATACTATTGTGAAGATGGCAAAGGACAGGACAGCATTTCCTTCTGTTATACAGAAGGTCGTCATGAGTCGGTGTTGACTCGACGGCACCTAACAGCAGCTACATCAAGGTGGGAATCAAAGTAGTTTATTGTTCTAGAAAAGAGTCTTTGAAAATTACTCAAAACCATGTTTATCTCTAAAGATTTGAAATATTAATTAGCAATGACAAAACTAGAGTTGACATTCCTTGAATATTTGAGGTTTCATACTTTTGATAGTAAGCAAAAACCAAACAAGTTGACATTGAGTCGATTCCTACTTAAGCAACCCATATGTGTCTGAGTAGAACTATGCCCCATAGTGTTTTCAATGGCTGTGACCTTTCAGAAGTTGATTGCCAGGTCTTTCTTCCTAGATGCCTCTAGGCAGATTTGAACCACCAGCCTTTTGATTAGTAGCTGAGTGCTTAACTGATTGTGTTTTGTAATTAATATAACAAGGTTGTTTCCAAGTTACAAAACTTGTTTAAATTTTTTTCATTTAAAAAATATGTAGTGGGATATCAGAATTTTTGATGGGCATTCTATTATAATTCACTGTGTGGCCATTACTGCTTTTAAAATGAGTTATAATACACCCAAAAAACCAAATCCGTTGTTGTCAAGTTGATTCTGACTCATAGCAACCCTATATAGGACAGAGTAGAAGTGCCCCATAGAGTTTCCAAGGCTATAAATCTTTATGGAAGCAGACTGCCACATCTTTCTCCCATGAAGTGGCTGGTGTAGTCAATCTATTAGTTAGCAGCCAAGCACTTAACCACTCACTGGGCCACTAGGGCTCCTTCAGAATGAGTTACACAGAAGAGTTATACTGTTATTGTTGAAGATACTTAAAAAAAAAAAAAAATTTAAATTTCCTACTGTAATAGTTTTGAACTCTCAAATATAGTAATGGTAATGCTCCAAGATTTTCTTCCGGCAATTTAAAAAAATGGTGTTAATTGGTTTCTTGTTGGATTCATCTAATTTGTTATCAGACATTGGCATAGTAGTTCAGTTTGTCAGTTCTGTAGTTAGTTAGTTTTGGAATGCAGTGTGAATGGATGGTTTCCAGTCAGATCTTGTAGTTGCTTAAGAGTTTTCCTGTCCTTAATTTGTTTTGTTTTTTTTCTGGTGCTTTTTGTTACTGTTTCAGTTTAATCATGAGCTGTACATCTGCTTCTCTATCTTTATTATCACTGATAACCTGACTTAATAGCTTCACTTCCCTCAGCTGATAGATGATGTCTCTTCCTATGAGGATAAGACTGGTATCAGTCCATGGAACAGGATCAAATTGGGAAAACTTGACATTGTACTCTCTTAGGAAAAATATCTTTCATGTTCATTTTTAACTAAAACTTAGATTGCTAATTGCTGTGCTATTTAAGTCAACCTTAAAAGATCTTCAGATGTATAACTTGATGGGAGTATTGGAGTTCATTTGTTGGAATCAAGTGAAGCTTCTGATTTGGGTGATTAAATACGATTCTCATCCTTTTTGGTGGCTACTTAGTAAATATGTGTAGTCTCTTGCTAAAACATAGCTTAAAAACAGTTTATATTCATTGATTGCATTTTAGTTGAGATGCATTTATAAAATTATTGCTATATCAGCCAGGTTGAAAAATAAACTGTGTTGGACTTGATTTCTTCTGGGAGATAGATTGTTGTAGCCACATGAGGATGGGTTTTAGAATTGGACAGATGGAAGACTGAATATATCCCACCACTTTTAGTCTCAGATGTGTGATGTTGTGTAGGCTACTTAAATCTCTCTCTGCCTCAGTCTCCTCACCTGTAAGAGGAGACAACCAGTCTTAATGAATGGTAGAACAGGATGAAATAAAATAATGTAAACTGCTTAGCATGGTACTTGGTATACTGTCAATAAATGTTAGCTTCAGCACATTGCCATCCCCCAGTGATATTCTCAGATTGTGGTAGAAAGTATGCTGAAATTTCAGCTAGAAAATCTAGATTTGCATCCTAATTCTTTTCTTTTACTGTATGTGTTTTCTTAGGTCAGCCATGACCATGGAGTATAGAGTCTGTTTTCTCATCTGTAAAGTAGGGTTCTGAAAATTAAATGAGTGATGAGTACATGCTTCAACCGTAGGCTTTAGATAAACTGATGAAAGGAAATAGTGAAAGCCAAGATTGAAAATGTAGGCTGGAGTTTTTGCTTTTATTCTTTATCATCTAATGTATTTCTATCTTGCTTCATTTCTCAGTGCTTAACATTCTTTCTGTGAAGGGTAGAGGTGTGCTTCAAGAACATCAACCTGATAGTTGTATGAAGGTTAGGTTTGTTTGGAGGAGCAGAGAGTAGGAAGCTATGTGGATATCCTTCCAGAAGGTGGTGTACATATATAGAGCCATTAGTGATTTGAAGCAGGAATGGGGAGGGGGCAGGGTGTTGCACTAACATGGTCAAATGATCAGTTTAGAAAGATGACTGTGGCTGCAGGGATTTTATTGGTCCAGTTCCGTTGTTTCTGTTCTTCGTTTCTTTCCTTCTACTCTGGTAGAATTCTTTCTTAGATGCAGTTCTGCCACTATTATCAGCGTTCTGAAGAGTGACCTATATTTTGTACTCTGTGTTCCCCATTGTTGTTAGTTGCCATTGAATTGATTCTGACTCATGGTGACCGCTTGTGTTGCAGAGTAGAACTGCTCTCTAGGGTTTTCTTGGTTGTAATCTTAATGGAAGCAGCTCGCCAGTCCTCTCTTCTACGGTACCGCTGGATGAGTTTGAACCACCAGCCTTTAGGTTAGCAATCAAGCGCAAGCCATTTGCACCTCCTAGGGACTTTGGATTCCACATAAGCTATAATAAATCCACATCTCAGAAGTATATTTTCTCACAGTGGACTTGAAAGTTTTCATCAGTTGAGTCTATCCTTTGAAACAGGAAATAGTTTCCACTTTCCTCTCAGCACATGCTCTTTAGCCCTAACTGGGAAACTTCCGTTCCCTGTCTGTTGGCCTTTACATGAGCCGTTCCCTGTACATGGAATATAACTGAACTTTCCCATCTGCTTTCTTTTCTTGAAAGTCCTTTTTATGACTGACTTTTATTAAAAATTTTCCAATCACTCATTCTAAAATACTTTTAATTGGTTTATAATAGTAAATGTGTGTGTATTTATTGGTAAGTTATCAATTTGTTTTGCTTTTTTTGTGTAGCTTGAATATTCTTTCTCGTAATTGCATACTACCAAACTTGAAACAAAAGCAGGGTGAATTCTTAGTAGATTTTAAATGTGATATATGTGTGTGTATACCTAATGTATCATTTTAATAATGAAATTTTTTTATGTTTGTATGTAAGAAAGGTGAAGTAAGGTGAGAAGGGAAAAAGGACAGATAGATACCTGGCAAGGTGATCACAGAGAGGCAGTAAAACTTGGTTGTTATTAATTGAAGTAAACTTTAGCAACTGAAGCTCTTTTCAGTTTAATGGCTTTCCTGGAATTAAAATGATTTAGTAATATTAATACCAGGAGGAGCATTGTTTGAAGGAGCTCCTGCCCTAATTCCCTTTTATACAGGTGTATTAGTGACCTCCAGCTCTCATTTAACACAGAGTAGGACAGACAGTTGGTCATTTGGATACTGACCTGATATGTACCAAATGTTCAGACCTTTTTTAACTTGTTTTCATTCCTTGAGAAGAATGCTGAAGAAACAATTGGGGCAGAGAGATTTGTGAGGTTTCTAAAGTAAGATCTTCATAAAGCAAGGGCTGTCACTGACCATTAAGCGTGTACTTCATCCCATTTGTACAAGAGTTCACATAGAAAATGACTGTGTTGCATAGTAGTAGCCTCAGCTTCTTTGTTTTTTTTTGGTCATGGCAGCAGTTAACACAGCACACTAGTAGTTTAACATACTACCACTTAAGTCCTATTTTTTGTTTTTGTTTTTTAAGTTATTGAAATTATGAGACTGTCATTCAAATGGAAGCATTATAGTTCTTCGGAGCCATTATGATCTCAAAAGGAAAGGAGAATGATACAGATACACTGGCTGAGGTGTTTTGAGGTGCATCGAAGTGTTCCAAACTGTGGCTTACCTTAACATGTTCTTGAAGTACCATGGCATGGATTAAAAGGTATGCTTTAGAAATATCCTAATGACCCCCAAGGTCACGGATAGAATGAATGAACACCCACAATTCTATAATTATTGCATATTTTAAGACATTATAATATTTAGATTGCAAATGTGGTTATTGATTTATGACAATATTATTTTATATATATACACACACAAAGACACCACAAGCTTTATAATTAAATCTTTTTTTTTTTCTTTTGGAGATGTAGTTATAGAAGGTATTTCAGTAGACATATTCCTTAGATTTTAATATTTTCTTTAGATTTTTACTTGGATTATAATTTCTTTAACCAAATAGTTTAGGGGTTATTCATGTGTTAGTCTATAATTATCTTTCTGGGTTACATCATAGACTAGTTTCTCTGCAGTTTTGTCATTTCATGGTAGCCTGAATGGGAAACAGCTGCATAAATTCTTCTGTTGGGGTATTAATTTGACCAGACAAAATAATAATTTGGGCCATTTGTAGTTTGTTATTGTTTTTGTTTTTTTACACAGTTTTCACTGAAAGGAAAATGAGTGATTCCTTATTAATAGCATGATGGTTGTCCATTCGCCAGTGTATGCACGCAGTTAATCATTCATGTGTTTGTGGCATATAGTCCTGTTATTTGTGGTTGCTAGTAATGGTAATTCTGGGCTTTGTAATACCCACTTAACTATCAAAAATCTTTAAGGTTTTTATGTTCATAAAATTTCATTTGAGTAATGTAGTCAAAACTAATTATTTGAAACCTTGAAAACCTCCTTTTTTTTTTTTTTTAATTGTACTTCAGGTGAAGGCTTACAGACCAAATAGTTTCTCATGAAACAGTAGTACACATACTGTTTTATGACATTGGTTAACAACCCCACAACATGTCAACCCTCTCCCTTCTTGACCTTTTTTTTTTTTGGTGAAAATATACATAGCCAAAGATACACCATTTCAAAAATTTCTACATGCACAGTTCAGTGACATCGACTACGCTCTTCCAATTGTGCTGCTATTCTCACTTAAGATGAAGGCTTACAGAACAAAATAGGAAAACCTCCTAATTTTGTACTGTGTGCTCACTACTAAATACTTTCTCAAGAGTGAAGAAGGGAAACAACTCGAGGAAAATGCTGAGTTTATTAATGTTACATCAGGCTCCAAATTCTGCATCTTTTAGGTAATATAGGAGAATATGTTGAGAAGGGAGAGGTTTAAATCATGGATAGATAAATTTAATGGAAATATTGTTTTGGCATGTCATCAATTAAATCCTTAATGGAATTTAGTTATTAAATCTAAGAAAAAACTGCTTTATATTGAATTCAAGTCCATAATGACAGTGATCTATTCAAGTTTCAGGGTAAATTCAGCTGCTTATTGCTCAAAGCAATCATTCAGTTCAAGCAGGCATTTTATGTCTGATGGCACAGAATGGTATCTAACTTCTAGAAGGTCTCTGATATAATGGGTCTGAGATGGTGGTTGATTCCTACATTGTTTACATAATATACTTCTCTATAATACTTACTATTTCAACTTTGAAATCTCTTTTGGGGTAGCCCTTGAGCAGCTGTATGTTTTAACTTGACAAAGTATTCAATGCACAGCAGGAGTTGAGAACTCATGTTCTATTTGGAAGAGTTTATAGCTTAATGGTTAAGATTCTGGGGTCAACTAATCTGTATTTCAAATCTAACATTCTTTTACCATGACAGGTTGTGAGAATGACCTGGGGGCGGGGGGAATAATACATAAAAGTAAATTTATACTTTAAAATATAAAATACATAATTATTATATAACTGCTATATAAAACCTACTGCTGTCGAGTCACTTCCGACTCATAGTGACCCTACAGGACAGAGTAGAACTGCCCCATAGGGTTTCCAAGACTAATTCAAGAAGGCGGACTGTATGAAGAAGAACACGGCATCAGGATTGGTGGAAGACTCATAAACAACCTGCAATATGCGGATGATATAACCTTGCTTGCTGAAATCAAGGAGGACTTGAAGCACTTACTGATGGATTTTAAAGACTACAGCCTTCAGTATGGATTACACCTCAATATAAAAAAAAACAAAAATCCTTACAACTGGACCAATAAGCAACATTATGGTAAATGGAGAAAAGATTCGAGTTGTCAAGGATTTCATTTTACTTGGATCCACGTCAGTGCCCATGGAAGCAGCAGTCAAGAAATCAAATGATGTATTGCGTTGGGCAAATCTGCTGCAAAAGAAACCTCTTTAAAGTGTTAAAAAGCCAAGATGTCACTTTAAGGACTAAGGTGTGCCTAACCCAAGCCACGATATTTTCAATCGCCTCATACTCATGCAAAAGTAAGCTGCACAATGAATAAGGAATACGGAAGAAGAATTGACGCCTTTTAGAGTGTTGGTGAAGAATATTGAATATAACATGGACTACCAAAAGAACGAACAGATCTGTCTTGGAAGAAGGACAGCCAGAATGCTCCTTAGAAGTGAGGATGGCAAGACTTCATTTCACATGGTTTGGACATGTTATCAGGAGGGACCAGTCCGTGGAGAAGGACATCATGCTTGGTAAAGTAGAGGGTCAGCCAAAGAGAGGAAGACCCTCAAGTAATTGGATTGGCACAGTGGCTGCAAGAATGGGCTCAAACATAGCAATGATTGTGAGGATGGTGCAGGACCAGGCAGTGTTTAATTCTGTTGTACATAGGAACGCTATGAGTCACAGCCGACTCAGTGGCACCTAGCAACAGTCTTTACAGAAGCAGACTGCCACATCTTTCTCCTGTAGAGTGGCAGATAGATATAAACTGCTGACCTTTCCCTTAGCAGCCGAGTACTTTAACCACTGCATCACCAGGGCTCCCTTATAACTACTATATAGTATACCTAATATATAAAAATAATTGTACACACACACACTTAGTGCAGGGCTGGGCATGTAGGAAGCCAGTGTTAGATTGACAGCGGTAATGATTATTAAGTGTAAGAAATCAGGACTATTTTTGAGGGAGAGGTGCTGTTACATTTTCTCTTATCCTAGGTGTTACACCTTCTCCTGCTCTTCTTCCTAGAGTTAAATAAGTGATCACTATTTGACTCGTGTTTTTAGTTCCTTGAGATTTTCCTCATCAGTGAAAGGAATCCCTGAGTGGTGCGAACGGTTAATGTGCTTAGCTGCTAACTGAAAGATTGGTGGTTCAAGTCCACTCACAGGCACCTAGGAAGAAAGGCTTGGTGATCTACTTCCAAAAAATCAGCCATTGAAAGCCTTATGGAACACAGTTCTACTCTGACACATGTGGGGTCTCCATGAGTTAGAGTTGTCTCAAGGGCAACTTCTTTTAAAAAGAAACTGGTAATTGGTCTGTGAACCTCTTATCTCGTTAGATTAATTTTTATGTTTTCTAAAGCTGTGTTTTGGAAATTACAGATATCAATCCTTTATTAGTGGGTCCAGAAATCAATTTAGTGAGTTATAAGCAGCATTAAAACATGCATTAATATAGAAAAATAAATTACAATGTACTGTATTTAGTAACTAGTAAATGCAGTTAATAAAGTAACTAAGTAGTTATTAATACAGTTGTATCTAATATAATAGAAACATTATTTCTTAAAACTTTTGTTTTGATTTAAAAAATAAATATTGAAATAAACGTATAAACCAATAAACGTGTATTGGTTGATATTAATTTTGTTCTACTTAGTGTATTCTTCCCATAGTGACAGATGTCCCTAAAAAGTGATACCAGTTTTATATTGCTTTCCCTTGCTGAGAAGTGACCAGGATAAGTTACAGTCTGTGGCTTCTAATGGTATTGCCATTGCATTACATTCAAGGGTCCCCCTACCATCCTATTTATTTGAAGTAAAGGTTATTACAGGAGAATATCTAGGAAAGAAAGAGAATAGGAGAACATAGCAGCAGCCACTTTTGAGGGGTATTAACCAGGGCTCTTTTATCAAGTAGGTTGATCTAGTATGCTTTTGTCCCTTAGTGTACATGGTGTTTATCATCTCCTAGATCGGTGGTTTTAAACTGCCATTGTCAGCCCCGTCCTAGGTTCAGTTTAAGAAGTTGCTGCCCCCTCCCCCTTTTAAATTAAATGAAATAGAAAAGAACAGAACAGAAAATGTTACGAATATATCATACAATATGGTTTTGTGAAACTTTGTTTCAGTGATATGTATTTGTACTGGATTACACTGTAAAATCTATTTCTTACTGTGAATTGTCATACAAAAACGTTGGAAAATTACTATAAAGACATAAGTTCTAGTAATGATCACCTGAAGAACTTCTGTGAAACCCAGTCTTACAAAACTGTACTGCCAAAGTGACCTCAGCCACAAAAGCTTTCAGACAGTATTATCAGATCAGTAGTCTTATCTCTGATGGGAGGGAACAGTTAATTAGCTCTGAAACTTTGTATTAGTTGTGCTCTTATTTTGTGAATGTGTTTTCTTTTGCTTGTTTGTCCTGATAAATATTTAAAGGTTTATAAAAGTAAAACTTATAAAATATTTCCTAGTTGTAGAGGAATTTACTCTTAATTTACGTTGATGAAAAGAGACACATTCATTTAAAAAAAAAAATACAGGAACATACAAACAAAAAGCTGATGATACCCACTAAAACCCACACAATTCGTTTTCCCATTCTTTATATGTTAGGACCTTTTCATGTAATAGATATTTCTTTAATTCAGAAGGTAAATACAAACTTTAATGTTGAAAAAATTAAGAATAAATCAGATATATTTAATGTATTTAAGGTAGTCAAATGTTAGAGCTTCTGTTTTTGCGGGGATATCTTGAATTAGTGCCTGTGCCTGCCGCATTTCCTCAACAGCAGATACTTGCTCTGTAGGTTGGTTGAGGATGATCACAGTTTCTGGTGAATATTTTTTAAAATATACAAGGCTTCAAAGTAGGGCAGTATCACCATATGTATGTTTTAAGATTGTGTCTAAAATAGTTTCTTCCTCCCTAGAAAACAATAATGGGTTGAAGACTTCTG